TGATTGGCTCTGAAACTGGGAATAATTTCATTAGCCAGCTGAATTTTTGTTTCTCAAATTGCAAACAAGTTGTATAGTTCCTACTTTCACCTCTAACAGAACTTCACCAAACCACCAAACCACCAAACCACCAAGACAAGTTTCTTATCCTGTCTTGGCACCTTCCTCAGGATGCTGCTGCCTGATCTTCACAGAATCAGAAAGCTCTTCCCTCCTCTGTCTAGAAAAGCGACCTGCTTCTGCCAGGACCCCTTCCATTCCCTCATGCACTCCTGGCACTTCCTTGTCCACCCCCTTTAGAACTGCTCTGTATCTGCTCTCTTCTCCAACTTGCCAAACTCAAGTAGAAAGTTAATCCATATGTTTTAATCTTATAAACCAGCGGGGACTGTGCATGCCATAACGCAGCCTAAAACCACGAATCATTTCATCCCAGGATATATGTGTGTGTGTGTCAGCCCCCCAGTCCATCTATTAACTGCAGATGTGCTTCTGAGTTCCATTTGGAGATAGTTTTCTCAATTAGTATTTAATTATCATCTTTTGAAATGATCAGGAATGGGTTTTATTTACTCTGTTAGGGGAAAAAATATGGACGTGTAAAGCAACTCGTGAGGTAAACTATATTTTGCTTTAATGAAAAAATTCTTATTTAAATTAATTGGTTAAAATGGCAGAAAAATGTATTTAAAATCTCTCTCTCTCTGAGATAGTATGAGTAGCAGTGATTAGGACATCTTCAGCTACACACAGCTGATCTTAGTAGTATCCATGATGTCTTTCCTAATTAGACCCAAAGGGCCAAAATGAAAACTAGAAATATTTCATATGTTGAGACTTTTTTCATTTGCTTATTTATTTGGTGATAATGTGCAAAGTACTAGTGGTAAATATAGCATAATGGTGTGGGAAGAGAGTCATAAAGGATGAGAAGTTTTATCTGAATAAATGATGTTTCCTGTATGGGACATATTAATAAAAACAGCATTTTAGGTTGCAGAAATTTTCCTAGTTTACTTTTTAAAAAGTATTAAAATAAAAGGCAAGTTATATTCTTTTTAATTGAATGTTCCTAAACTTCCCGAATCAATCAAACAAATATTTCTGACTTCCCAACAGAAAAACACATATTTTATTCCTAAAGATATAATTAGCAAGTCTTTCTTGGCAAAAGAAAGTACAGATTTCATTCAAATGGAGGTTCTGGTGCCTGCTTTGCCAACCTACAGAACTACTTCTGAGGATACTGAAACAGGGTGGTGATTCTGCAGGGAGTTCATGAGAAAATGGCCAATGTCACCAGGAAAAGTCTCATCTCATTCTACTACCTGCTTCACTATACAGAAATCCGTATCCATGGGAACCACAACTCCTCCCGTGGCAATGTGCATTTGACACAAAAAGGATAAGAATATTTTGCAGAATAGAAATAATAAAGGAATAATGCTGCCGGAAATTAAAACACAATTTTCACTAAAACTCTGAATATTATATTGGTCAATTTATATGCGGGATCGTTGCCTAAGGAGACAAAAAATAGGAGAGATATATTTTTGGTTCATGGAATAAGATGAAATGGCATTAATTGGGGTCACTGGCTGTGAGGAACAGTGCTGACTACGCTATCCTAGTAGAAAAATTTTAGTAGTTGTTTAATAGTAGAAGGATACTTAGCCAAGGGGTGGGTGAGATAAGAAAACCACCCTAAATGTGAAGGTATAGGGAGCCATTGAAGACATTGTCTTTTCAGACACTCATTATTGAATGTGAGGAGTAATAATTATTGGGTTTGAAGATACAAACTGGGCACTTGTATATTCATAATTTTAACTATCTTACTGAAGTTTGACTTCAAAATTGACCTCCTTTGAAGCTAAGAGTGTACCAAGAGCTCCAGTCTGCAAGAACAGGCCTGTGTAGCTTTATCCCTTGTACAAAAGGAATTTTATGAAGAACATATATGGTTAACAGTACAAAGTTAAGAGATTTTCAAAGGCCAGAAGGAACGCTTGTGAACGTGAAGACTGTAGTGTATTCTCTAGTACATTCATGGTAAGTCCTCACATCATAAGAGAAACAGAAAGTCCCGATTAGGCCAATTAACAAATTATCTTAGAAATTGCATATTTGGGTTTTCTTCCCGACTCATATTGATCCAGACTCTCCCTTAGAAACATTTTGATCCAATAATTTCCATTTGTGATAAATAAAAGGGAAAGCTTTATATTTCTCTCTTTTCATGCTTGATGAAAACCTTCTGATTTTTCTAATTAGAAGAAGAATCTTTAGTGGATTATGATTTCATGAATATTTTCCAAGTCATCGTTCTGATTCCAGGCTAACATCTGGCAGCGATGCTGGTGGCTAACCAGGGATGGGGTGGAACTGCGCTTGTTGGTGGTACACATCTTCTCCTCCCGCTCAAGGAATATTTTTTCCTACATAAATTAACATATGTTGATTTCACTAGAAGAAACAGGTCAGTTCTGATTAGCCAAATCGAGCAAAAGTATTATCAGAGGAAGCACCAATTTCTGTGATTTGATTTCAAAAGATGTATAGCTAGATCACCAAATCATTATTTTCACTCCTGCAGAAGGAAGGTCCCCGACAGTCATCCTTATTGATTAGATTCACTTAACTATACTTTATAATAGGAAACTTTGTTAGTATTTTTGCTACTAGTTTTACTTATGTATAACCATTTATCATCAGCAGGTTTGTATTGAACTAAATCTTGAAATGCTGCCCACTGCGGAATTCACTCATGTGGACAGATGTCTTTTTCAGTTCTATGCATCCTGTTTTTTATTGCACCATTGATTACTACAGCAGATTAACTCCCGAGACATTTGCCGAGTTAAAATTTTTATGATTTTGTTTAATTATAGTTATTTGCTTTGAGCTAAGCTAAAAATCTGCCTACATTAAAGATAAGGCCTTGTTCACATCTTATTCTGGGTAAAGAGTCTTTTCTTTTCTTTTCTTTTCTTTTTTTTTTTTTTTTTTACCAAATGGAGGTTATTTGGTAATTGTATAATTTCAAGTTATTCCTGTTCTTTTGGTATCCAAAGGCACATTCTAAATTACAACATGTGGAAATATAATCTGGGGTCAACTAGACATTAGATTTTCTAAATGAGACTGATTCTTGGGCATGAGGCTTTTGGTGTGAAGATGTACAGCTTGTAGTTTGGTATTTTAATTTTATTTTCTCAACCAAATCATTTCTACCTGAAACAATTCTATTTCTACCTGAAAGGGGGATGCATCATAGATATCACTCTTGGAATGTTCATGCTTGCAGCAGAAACTGACGGTGGCACTTCAGTAACAGAAATTTCCTAATTGTCTCTATTGTCCAGATAGTTCTGAAAAACAGATCATGTGCATTCCCTAACTCCCTTCTTTACTACCATCTCTTTTAGGGAGTGGATTTTTGCAGAATAGTTATTGTGAGCCAGTCTATATGTCAGGATGGGGAGGAGTTTGTTGCTGACACCTCCTTGGACAATTTGCCTATATCCCAGGTCATCTGACCTTTTGGAAGAATTAATTAAATATTTCTTTTATCGTCCAAGAAAATTAACATTTCTCCTGTAATTACTAATGACTTAGTTAATAGATCCTTCTTTTCCCATACCATTTTGCTCAAGATTCCATACATTAGAGCAAAGGTACAAAATGTTATGCATCCTTTTCTCCAAGCCTGTCCTCCTAACCTCAACTGTGTTTACATATAAATTTTATCACCTCAATCTAAAGTGACATGGTCGTTGAAACGAGTCAGCAAATGATGATGCTGTACAAGTGATACTTTACAATTATAGTATTACTATTTACCATAATTGGGTAAAGAGTTTTTTTTAAGTAGGACATTTCTTATCCTACTTTATCAGTACTATAAAAATATATATATATACTGTGAATAGGAAGCATAGGAGTAAGAAAAAGTGAAACTTAACTCCTCCAAAGAACTTATTGGATGTCCAATACAAAGGAAACACTGTGTGTGAGAGAGAGAGAGACAGAGACAGAGACAGAGAGAGAGAAAAGCAGTGCCCTAATCGCTGAGACTGTTATGAAGTCTATTATAAACTCAACTAGGAATGAGCACAGTGACTGGAACTAAAAAATGAATGACTCCAATGACTTTTCTTTAAGGGAATATTATTAAAATCACTTTAGCATTTTTACCGTTAACTCTGTTTCAGAGTTCAACTGTCCCATTCACACCGTTATATTTTACTCAATGCCAAAGGTTTTTCAGACTGGGCTCTTCCTTTTAATTATAATTGCAAGTTGATACAAACTGATTGTTAGGGTCATGATGAACTTCTCACACTTCTGTTATTATAACTCACTTTGGGATACAGTTTGGGGTCTCATTTTCTCAATGACTGGTAACTCTTCTTCCACATGCATTCTGATGGACTCAGCACTTAAAAGTGCAGAAATTGCCAACACAGTGGAACCCTCACAGGTGCATATGTGGCATAAAAAACTCATGATAACCTTATCATATGAATAAAATATTTCATTAACTCCTGAAGGTTGATCTTCCAAATCCACCAACTCATTTTACTGCTCAAACTTGGTTACTTCTATGATCGATATTAGTTCAATCAGTTGAATATAATACAAATTCTAGAGACTGAAATATTTTCCCTCTGGCAGGAATCCCTTATTTACCAGCTTAGGTCAGGTGAAGAAAGTATGGAGATTCAATATTTTATAAAGACTTTTGTTTCCATTGAAAACTAAGTGAAGAGCTCATGTTAGTGTTTTTGTTCAAAGTAAAAAGGATGAGTGTACTTGAACTATTATGTATAAACAGGACTCACTGGTGTCTCCTGTGTTCATTTGTTAATGAATACAGATAATCTCTGTCATGGGAATAGCGTCTCATTCATTCAACAAACATACATTGATGACGTGTTGTTTATGTTGGCTCAGCCCCCAATACTTTATGTTATTTGTGAATTAAACTCCAAACTTAGTGAAATTACACGAGTAACCGAGTGTAAATAAAGCAGTGTGGTTAGCAGGAGTAGAATAGTGGTCTCAGGAGATTTGTCTTCCTCTAAATTCACTCATGACTTGCACTGGATGGATTTTTTTCTTTGCCGAGCCCCGTCGGACAGCTGCACACGTTTCCTCTGGTTTTTCTCTTTTAATCAAGGGTTTTTTTTCAGGAGCTTTCATTCTCCACATCACCACTGGGTGCCGGGGCCCAGCAGGACTCTGGACCCGGATGATCTTGGTTGAGGCGATGTAAGACATCTTCACTGTCTGCACTACGGCATTCATTAGATTTTTGGCTGCTTGAATCAGGGAAGTGACACTGTCCAACTGATGGGGAAAAATAGAAAAAAAGCTATTATTCAAGAGTGTAATCAGGAATTGAAGGGGATAGAGCATTACAGAATCTGAAAAGTGCCATTTTGTGTTGATGATTTAATTCTCATTTTATATATCTCTGTATATTTATCCAATCAATCCATCTACTTTGGATCACTTGTTTATCAGATGCACAAAGAGAACCATTTTTAATCCTCAAAGATGGTATCTTATAGAGATTAGCTTATTTCTCTCTCTCTTTTAATGTAATCATATAAAATCATCAGTACCTCCACCCACGTAAAATATAACATCAGATGGCCACCACTTTCTTTGTAATAGATATCCCTAGTTGTGGAGGTAATACTGAGCCCTTTCTGTAAGACAGGACTGTTTGCAATGAAATCCATAAATGGTTTTATAAGAACAACCATATGTATATGTATATACATAATGTACACTTTAAGGTACTGTACACACGTATGGGTAGAGACATGCATGGATGTCTGTCATGAATACTTTCCAAATAACTGAATCTCAAATCAATGTACACAAATCACAGCTTTCCCATACGCCATAGCAGAAAAGGTGAAGATCAAAGTGAGGACACAATACCTAAAAGGGTCTCTTTTTAAACTCAGATCTTCTCTTCTATCGCGCATTTTGTCAGAGGAGAACAAACCAAGTAATTACAGTCAAAGACAGTTCAACTTCTAGGTCTGCCATTTGGTAACTTGGGGAAATCATTAAACATTTTCATCCTAATTTCTTCAGATGTTAAAGAGAAAAAATATGCTTATTAAAGGTAAATTAATACATGTAAATAAACTAGTAAGAATGGCCGCCAAAGAGTTGACTTTTATTAAATGACGTTTTCATATTTTTTTCCTCTGAAGGTCAACAAGATTGCTTAAATATGCGGCACTAATGAAATTACCGAGAGAAACTTTTTTTTACACGATTCTGTTTTTCTTCTATTTTCTGTTTAGTTCACAAACACAGTCTCAGGAAAAAAAGGCGGTGATCCACGTATTCCTAGAATCTTGCAAAATACCTTAGAGCTAAGCCAAGTTGATTCATTTTTATACAACTAATGTCTCTTCCGTTCTTTTTGTTTGGCAGATTGTCATCCACAGCCAACTCACCCAGGGAGATGTGCCTCCACTGTCACCCCTGTGTGATGTGTGTTGTCAGGGTTGAGACTCCAACACTCGCTCTGTAGTTACTAAAATCTATCAGCAGCTGCCTGGCCTGAGTACTCTGCCTTTGCCATTTGAGGAGTCTCTTCTCCTGTACAGAATAAATGAGTGAAGGAAAGGAGTAAGCTGAAGTTAGGTGCCTGGGGCTGTGGTGTAGCTGGCTGCTTCCTGGGAAAAAAATTTAATTAGCTCCATTATATGCCAAGCCTGAAATCCTTGAAAAAGTAACACCAAAAAATATGTAATTTGAAAGGCAATCACACTTGGCAACTATACATTTTTAAGTCTCTTTACTTTTTGAAGCCAGAAATGTAAAATTCGTGCATGTGGCAGGAATGACAAACGCGTTACAAATATTAAAAAGGATTTCATGAAGCACTCAAGTACATTTTGGAGGACATTCAGAGCTTCTAAATCTGTACACAGCTTAAAAAATACCAGATTTTAAAGAGAAGAACACACTTTGTTATTAAATTACTCGACAGACCTTTAATAACTTATAATTTTCATTAAAAACATCCTGGAGTCCAGTTTGACTCTGAGGATGGTTTCTGATCTCACCACAGAAGGAACCTTTTTTTTTTTTTTTTCGAATGATGAAGTGATAGGAAGAATATTGAGGATCCTTGCCAAAGCTATCCCTTTATTACAAAGGCTCTGGACCATCATGAAGTCTTTCACAGAAGTAGGTCCTACAGATCACCCATCTTGCAAGATTTCACCGGTGGCTCTGTCTTCTTCCCCTAAACCTCACATCAGCTCCCTTCCTTTTGACTCTTCGATCGTGTTATGTACAGACTGTTATTTATTTCATCTCCTTTCAATTTTTTTCATATAAATGGTATCGATCAACCAGCAATCTAGGAAGGTTGTCTAAATTCAACCTGTGACTCAAAATGTAAGAACTGGGTTATCTCTTTCCTCACTGAATGAATAAATCCTTACCTGTGCTATGGTAATCCTTTATTCTGGTCATTCACAAATCCTTTCATTTATAAAACCCTAAAGGGGCCAGATAGTAAAATATTCTCCACTTAGAAAAACCACAGGACAAATCACCCTCCTAGAAGCGCATGAAGAATGGTTTTATAGACTGATTAGACAATTGCTGAAAGAATACCTATTTCATGAGGAAAGGTAGTGAGATACCCCAGGATATATAGGAACCATATGCCTTAAGGTATGTAATTCGCAACTATTAGCAAAATCACACAACCAATGGGCAAAAACAAGCGTCAATAATATAGTAACTTTTGTTCACATCCCAAACAGCGTCTCAGACCTACTGCTAAGGAACAACTGCCCAATTTAATGTCCGGAAAAAAAAAAAAATCATTCAGAAACTTTTTATCTAGGCCTACTTTCATGAAAAATCCTTTAAGGGAAGAATTCAATAACATTATCTCTGTCAAAACAAAGGCAAATCTGAGTAAGAGAATGCACTGTTCGGGGGTCTATGTTCAACTTATTAAATAGAATGTTTTCAACTTCACCAACGCACCTGTGCAAGACAAGCACGTTGCTTTATTCTGAAGGCCTGGTAGAGCAAAGCAAATTAACTGCAATACTCAGAGCCATGAATTCTCTTACCGTTACAGATCACTTTCATTAACCGAAAATTCTTCTAGGCTAATGTAACTTGAAATGGGGAAAACGGATCTTTTCCCCTATTATCTGGTCATACTCCTCTCTGATCTCGATGAAGTATTCTTAATCAAGGTGTCCACTGGAAACAGAAATGTCTTCTAGGACTCTCAGACTTTCTGCAGTTATTTGTAAATATTTGGATGACCTCCCTTTTCTCCTGCCCTTCCAGAAAGAGAGACATGATTTTTAACATCTTTTCAAAGAGAATTGTGACATAAATTAAACGCCTCTTTCCCCTCTGTCTACCATTTCCCGTGGTAAATAGGATGACAGGCATCTTTCTGAAGCTGGCAACTTGTACGTACTCTCCTAACGCTTCAGAAAGATGCCTGTCATAAAATAACTGAGCCCAATAGTCCATGAATGTCCCCATAAGCTGCTCAATATCATCTCTACCCAATGTAATTTAATACGCTCTTCCTGTTTTTTTAGTATCTAGATAAGTGATTATGTCAAATACATTAACTCTTATGCTAATTATGTATTTTGCAAACAATTTAAATAATGTTCATTAAACCAGAGCTGATCCTACTCAATATTTCCATTCTATTTGAATTTTGGCTTCTTTTATTTCTCTTCCATGCTTTGTGATATGTACTATAGGATTTGAGTCAAGCCATGCAAATTTCACCAATCCTGAAAAATGTTTTCAGATAAAGGGCTTGCTCCTACTTGGAAACCTAGCAATAGAACTTTACTACAGAAAAGGAGCTTAATAATAAAAAGTATTTTATTTCTATTCATAAAAATGTCAATTTTTGTTAATGTAGTGAGTATATTCTGAAATCCAGAATTTATTCCAAGGCACCGTACCCTCATATAGTCGTTAATGTAATGAGTATATTCTGGAATCCAGAGACAAAAAACATCAAACCTTGGAAGGTCTGCTGGCAAACCATTGCCCAGATCCTACTGTAATTAATGCTACTCCAGAGGAATATTCAAAAAGATGTGCTAAATATTCCTTCCTTTGATATCATAGCCGCTCACCTATTTTAGGACAAAACATTAGGATGTCTTATATTCTTACTATGCTACTCTAACTTTTGATATTTTGGCTGTAAGACCTCTCCCAGACATATGCTTTGCACAAGGATTCTAAGCATAGGGGAACCTTTCTCCCACTGACGCACTCTCATCTCCTTGCACCTAGTCTGGCACCTGGGGAAACCATCGATTCCCAACGCCTGTGTGAACTGCTGCGCCAACTGCTTCTGCTATGACTCTTGGCAAGAAAAAAGCCTGATACTGCCTGGAAAAATATATTTCCTGTCTGATATTCTTTTCGGTAAACTGGTACCAAGTACAGCCTATGATCTTGTAAGTTTCAATGTTTCTCTGCACTTAAAGACCCCTGGTGGATCTGCACCTGCACAAAAATGATGCTCCTGTGGAACACTACTCAGCCATTAGAATGAGTGGAATCAGGTCTTTTGCTGCAACGTGGATGGAATACCACGAAACGTTATTTCATTTTCTTAAGTGAGAATAACTTAGAAAGAGAAAGTCAAGCCCTGCATGTTCTCACTTATAAATGAGAGTTAAATAATGAGCACACTGAACATAGAGAGGGGAATAACAGACACTGGAGACTTAGAAGGGCAGGAGGCTGGGTGGATGGGAGTATGGCACGGGGTGAGAAATTACTTAATTGGTACCACCTACACGAACCAGGTGAGGGCTACACAAAAAGCCCAGGCTTCACTGCTATGTAATGAATTTGCACGTGTACCCCCTAAATTAGAGAGAGAAAGAGAGACAATGCATATATTCTCAAATGAATAAATAAATAAAAGCAAATGCATGGAGTTTGGCTCCAATAGCAGCTTATAATAGTTGTGACTGTTATAAGTTGTTGCAGACAGTTGTAATAAATTAGCTCCCAGAAACCCTAAGAGGTAAGTGCTATTATTATCTCTGTGTTATAGATGAAGAAACAATAAAACTGGAATGTTGGTAACTTGCTCGAGGTGATACAATTATTAATGGTAGATCTGGAATCTGAATCAAGTAGGTCTGTTTCTACCTGGTTTTCTTGCCCATTCCAAAGCTCTGCCTGTTGGTGATATGCGATTTTAAATATTTGATTATTTTCAGATTTTGAATAGTTGGAGAAATTACACTCACATTAATATAATGTCTAAAATTTTAAAATTGACTATCTGA